AACCGTGTGTGGATATCGAGGGGGGCTCAAGCTAACTCCTGAACTACTCCTCAAAAAGACCCTGCAGTCCTGCGTTCTATCACCGTACAGTAGTCGTTTTGAACATGCCAAGACTTTGGCCCCGTCCTTGCCGTATCACATAACGTTAATTTGTGGACCAAGCCCAACTTCTTACGATGCCAACCAATTATCCTGTTCTACTTCGAAGCGCCAAGTTTGCACTACGTGTAATAGTCTTGGACTCTTGGCTGCGAACAAGTTTCGGTTCACGGCCCAGTGGCATAAGGCAACGTGTTCACTATAAGTACGGTCGCAATCTGAGAGCAATCGTCAGAGCCGGAGGAGATGGAAGGAGCCCTTGAAGCTCATTATCGATTACCTAGTGCGTATTTAAGTTAACCTCATCAACCCCTCGCAACGCCTTCTTTTGACGAGAACAGAACATGATGATCGCGATGTGGACTAAATCATAGAGATTGATCCATGTAGTCCAGGGTAATGAAATGACTACCTGAACGCACTATTCCACCAGTGTGCAATTTGCCCTTGGACTACATACACCCCAAGGAGCTCGTTGATCATCGATCGTGACAGAAAATGTTCACGCAGTCGGCAATCTGGATTGTCCCATTTCGGAATGTAAACAAGAGAGTAACTTTTGGCTCCCCAATGCCGATCGGTCCGACTCCTCACAATCTGAGTCCTTTTTGCTGGACGTTGCGGAAACGCTGCGCTGTGCGCATTGGTACAGGGAACTCCGCAGAAAAACGTGATGGGCGCCGACTGCGAGGTACGAAAGGGGGGTTCGCAGCCAGTACTGTGTAACTATCTTGCTTATCCGAATGTCTAGTACATAGTTGGACCTAGGTTACACGATCACCTCTTGTTTGTCTTTCCGATGCCGATCGGACCGACGATATTGAGTTGTTTTTGCTGTGGGTCGCGGATCCTAAAAAATGGTCATAGCGGTAATCCGCATTATGTGGTAGCTGTTTCAGTGTTTCAGCGGAAAGTTTGAACTATGTTTACTTCCGCAACATTGTAACCTCGTTCACATCCATTTCCGTAAGTCATTTTCCCTGGATCTTGTCCTTATTAAAGCCACCTGCCGCAGTCACACAGTGTGGCACTCAGCCTAGCCGTTTATCGGCCGTCAGCACTTAAGTGGTTCAAAGGTTGATCGTGCATGAAACCCGCGGCCTCCAAAATATTAATAACTTCTTTAGACTGCTAATTTAACAGTGTAACCTATCATTAATCAGGTTGAGGAGGTCAGAATTGCGATTAGACCCGTCTGCAGCTGTTCTTCGGCGTTAGTAATGATATGGGGCAATATTATTATAATATTCTTATTATTCACCGGCATCCGGGGAGCCGTCTGCAGTTCGGACATGAGTTTGGCGAACGTGCCCTAACCAAATACTGATACATACTGTAAACTCATGCTGTAGCCGATGAGGCGTAGGAAATGCACTCCCGACATCAACGATTCGGTAAGTTCTCTATCCCCGCCCTCGCTGCATTGCCCCAAGACTCCCACAACTATACATCAAACACAATCAGTATGCTCTGCTCCACATCAGATGATGCGACAACGACAGTGACGGAGGGAACTTCCCGGACGCTCAGGCTGTTCGCAGAACTAGGCCAGTGGTCAAAAATAAAACGCTGTTTGACTTGCAATGTCCGATCAGATGCCGCAAATTCCTAGGTATGTGACTCTTGTGGAGTGGTTGACAGGAATTCATGGGCTGATCACTTGCCCGCTTATGATGTCTTTTTTCTGGACTAGCCTAGCTTCGCCCTGCAATCATAACTGTATTATGGGTCGACACATCAAAAAAGAATGGTCACACGACTAAGGTTTTTCCTGTGCTTTGTAGCTCAAGCGCTCATGATCACACCAAAACAATTGCGCATTTGATCACACAATTGACGACATCCATCAAACGCGCAGTCCTTTCAAGTTCCCTTCATCTGTTCGAACCTTGGTTCAAACTTCAGGGCTGTGGAAGAAGACCATATATGGACTCAGCGAGTACCGGTCCGCAGTTTGAGTACACCCGGTTTCATGATTTGATGCAGTTTGTAAGTTCTTCCATGTTTAGTAAGCCTTGGCTGAAGTTGATACTGGCGAGCAAAGTGTCAAACAGTTCCGTCATCACTTTATCGCGGGGACGCACAGTACTAGACTCCGGCGGAATCACTATACCGAGCGCCAGCACCTAGGAACTCTTGCCAGTGGGTAACGGTGGCCTAGTCGAGCCGGCTATCCCAGTTGTTAGGCATCGGCCGAAGTCGGGCACTCTGGTGGCGCATTATGGTTGGCAGCATTAGTGCTTCCACTGCCCTAGGGCACGTAGAGATTTGCCAGTGGCTACACGTTTAGAGTTGGTCCCTAAACCAAGCACGCGGGCGCAAATAAATGATTATAATGCACAACCGCCACGAAAGGAAACGAGGAAGATATCTAGACCACAAGTGAGTCCGAGTCCGGTATTCGGATGCTGCTAAGAAACCTCCCATTAGATCCCAATTACTTAATGAAGTTGCTTCGTGTTAAGGACTGTATGTAACGTTCAGCGCCTCCAGCTTTAAGTAAGAGCTAATTATAATACTTAGTACCTGGCTTGAATAGTCGTGCAGGGTGGCGGCCTCAACTAGCCTCAAGTATGCGGGGTATTCGGGTTGCATTACCTCAGAACCCTTCAGCTCCTCACGCAATGACAATATTGTTAGACCCTGAACTCTCAAGTCAAGTGTTTTCAACAGCCATTAGTGCCCGATAATGCCGATGTAGGCCCACGCCCTACTTGAGCCCCGCCGCCAGCGCCTACCTTGACAGACACGAGAATCTTTGACGAATAATGTCTTCATAGCCACGAGGAGCTGGGCCTTGATTTTTTTTATGGCAGGATGCCCCTGCGCACATTGCGCTTTGACACATCGCCACGGAGAGATAACCCTTGACCTTCCTATGTGTAGTTGAGAGGTTGCATCATCGATCGCCGCTATTAAGGGTCGTGATGCTGGTTTCCAGTATATTGATTAAATTCATATAGTATATCTACCTTACATGGCCGATCAAGTTGCATGCGCTTGCATGCAGGAGCTCAGGTATGTAAGTGCGTTTAGATCAGGGTTTTTTCTCGCTCATCTATCTACGAAGGCACATTGGTATCGTTACACACTGTCGCTGGACCCAATTTCACCTAGTGTCTGGTCGACATGATGGCGAATACGACTGCTACGGTGCTACCCGTGAATATTCAGCTGGTCTATCAACGGTGACAGATGTCCGATGTCGAATGCTTCTAATGCGACAGCGATTAGCTACTCAGGGTACATCTCCATCTCGAGAACTTTCGAGGGGTCCAAATTTTCGCATGATTCCAGCGCATGGCTACTACCAAATCTTGTATTTTCGCAGCACCCCTTTGGAGCACTGTACAGGCTTGATGATATCATGTCTGTGATAACTGTTGGGTCACCAGCACTTGCTAGTTATTTACTCCCACCCTCCCCAATTCTCGTCGGATTAATCCAGCACGTCCGGCTGAAGCTGTATTTCCATGCACACTTCCCCTCTCTTGTCGTCCCTTCGGACAATAACTCCTGGTAGAAATACTTACCTGGATTAATCGACTACACTCGTGCGTCAATCGCGTCTGCGACCTCCATGGGATCCTTGGGTAGTCGTCACCTACATCCTGGCTGCAGCCAACATTGTTATCTAAACCTTCAAGCTGACGATGAACGTCGAATGGCTGCAAATATCTGCGAAATGTGATTTTCAAGTCGATGGCTTATACACCCTAACACCCAGCCAAATCGAGGTCCGAGATAGGCTGCTCAAATTAGGGGACATATTTGAAATCAATACCGCGGCATTCATAGATGTGTCTTGGGATGTATCACATCTGTCCGTGGAACTTCCCTCGCCGTGTCTCAGGCATTATGAGCAGCTTGTGGTCGTGCCGATATGCTCGCACAGGAACAGCAGATACTCGTATAAGAATGTCACCTCTGCTCAGAGAGCTTTGAGACGAAGGGGGATGTAATTTCTCCAGACGAATTCAGCCTGGCACTGCGAGACCGCTGATCATATCAGCAGTGTTAATGTGACACCAATGTCACCTAGGTCCTAGGAGCCATAGGGACCTGAAGTCGATAGAAAAGCATTATGAAAGAAAGCATACCCCAGATACTTTGAGCATCCGCAGTGGTCGTCGAATTTAGACCGTCGGCAAGAACATGACATTCATTTATCACACATGTAAATATTGTCAGAAAATGAACGCGGATCTAAAGGTGGATAGTACTTACCTCCTTCCTGTCCTGCTTCCCAAGTAAAACAAGACTGTTCTGGTCTTTCTTGACGCAAGGTCTATGTCATCATTCGGGAATGGGAGGGGATGTGGATACTTCTTTCTCATGGCATTAACCAGACTCGGATGATCAATAATGCACTAGTGCTGGCAGCAGAGGAACGCTCGACAGCACTTGATTATAAGCATAAGCACGGATGAACATAGCCAGTTTAACAGGTGTGAACGTTCCTATGGTATAGATGAGCATAATGACATAATGATAAATCTTTCAAATGTTTGCAACCAGCCGGTTGTGCCGGGCTTATAATTTCTCATCATACTAGTAAGTTACTAACTCAGGGCATTCTCAGTTGATTCTTTTCATTCGTTTTCGCTTACCGCAGTCACCTCCCATAGCCTCAGATAGCCTCCCATCCGAACCGCAGAATTGAAAGCCGTAGATCCTTGGAGACTTGATATTATTTGTGTGAGAGACCGTAAGTCCTTCGATGATTGGCGGGGTGGTGGAAATGGCATCATATGTGGATGCACTTGTGTTCGTTCTCGATCCATTTGTACCATAGGTTGCAAATCTGGATGCAGTTGTGTTGAGGACTTTATACTGTGCATATGCTAAAGACAACGTGGTTATAGAACGTGTTCACTCGGTGTACAGCCAACGTGTCAAGTATGGCACCTGAATTAACATTCACGACGCTCGAAGAAATCGACGAGGTGCGAAGCTTGCAATCCACATTACTGTCATGTAGCTCACGGAACGTGCTCTAGATTTACACCACTCTCAACAAGACCTTCCGGTCAGGCAAAACTAAACCCATCGCATTCAGAAAGGTCCAGATCCTGCAACTAGGTTACCTTCTGCAGGACAACATTGAACGTTTCAAGGAGGCCTTGGCCGCTGACCTTGGGAGACCTTCGCTAGAATCTTCATTGTAAGCACTGTTTTGCCAAGTTACCGTGCATGAAACTCACTTAAGTGCACCCCAGCCTCGAGCTTGACTCAACTATAAGTGACTGCAAGATCGCTTATGACCGGGTGGACAAGTGGGCTCGAACCGAAAAGGCACCTTTCAATATCAAATTTGCTGCTTTCCGTCCAGCTATTCGCAAGGAACCAAAGGGTGTCGTGTTGTCCATTAGCCCATTCAACTACCCCGTATGGCTTGCTCTCGGACCTATCGTATGTTCATTTTCGTCTTTTCTCGCGCTCACTTCCATTTCATTGTTTCCCTTCTAAGATTGGAGCAATTGCCGCCGGTAACTGTGTCGTCCTCAAACCGTCCGAACTGTCCCCCGCCATAAGTGGCCTCATCGCGGAACTAATTCCAAAGTATTTGGACAATGATGTCGTTCGAGTCGTGTTGGGTGCTGTCCCGGAGACCAACAAGGTGTGTTATTCATTTCTGTTAGATATGGACTGCATACTTATCAGGTCATCTAGCTCATGGAATACCAATGGGGCCACGGTATGTGCAATTTACTATGTTTGTTGTCGAAATTATGATGCGAGACAACTAGTCCTGTACACCGGGAGCGGGCGAGTAGCAAAGCTTATAGGCGTAGCTGCTGCGAAGACTCTTTCCCCTATTAGTCTCGAGGTAAATCCATACTTTCAGTGTGATGTGCTGGCGCCAATATCTTCCTAGCTCGGAGGGAAGTCTCCTGTTGTTATCGACCCTAAATGTGACTTCAAGATTGCTGCACGCCGTATCCTGTGGGGCAAGTGCGCTAATGCTGGTCAGACCTGCGTCGCACCAGATTATGTTCTTGTCCCGCGCTCTTCAGAAGACGCGTTCGTAAAGGCCCTCAAAGATGCGTGCGTACCTCATCACACCCTTATATACGTCATGCTCAATATGTATCCTACTGCGTCCGCAGACACGATGAGTTCTATCCTTCTGGTGCTACCACCACTCCGGATATCTCTCGTATCATCAATCCTGCGCACTTCCATCGTCTTAAGAAATTGCTCGACAGCACTTCCGGCACCATCGTCTTTGGCGGGCAGACCGATGAGTCACGAAAATTTATAGCCCCTACCGTGGTCAAGGGTGTCAAAGATGAAGATTCACTAATGAGCGAGTGCGTATATATCTGTCTGTCGGAGTATTTTCAAGCAACGTTTGACTGGTTTCAAAGAGAACTATTCGGGCCGATCCTGCCTGTTATGCCTGTGGATGATGTCGATGCAGCAATTGCATACATCAATGCTCAGTGAGTTGTGCTTCTATTTACATGTTAACATCAGACTGAATTCTGCCAGCGATCATCCGCTCGCTTTGTACTGTTTCTCGCCCGATGCAGCCTTCAAAAACAAGGGTGCGTTTTACTTTCGATTGTCTATCAAGTCATCGTCGTTGACATTCTTGGTCAGTGTTTGACAATACTCAGAGTGGCTCAGCCATTGCCAATGATGTGATGATACACTGCGCTAGTATGCCTTACGATGTTTCCAATGAGGATAGCCCACTGATAGTGCTATAGCTGATGGATTGCCATTCGGGGGTATTGGCCCCAGCGGATGTGAGTTCATCCTTCTCTCAATCAAGTTATCACTAATCACATCTCGTTAGCTGGGTATCACACACGAACTTTCTCCTTCGACATGTTCACGCACCTACGCGCCTCTCTTGACTCCCCTGGATGGTTCGTCCTTTTCTTATAATTTCGTCCGCCTGTTCACTTTGTGACATCTTACAGGGTTGACAATATCATAGGAGGAAGGTTTCCCCCTTACAGCGTAAGTTTTGATGATTTATACCCCTCTGCACTTCCCTCACGATAGGTTCCAGCCCGGGAAATTAGCGTCCCTCAAACGTTTCCGCGTAAAACTCCCGCCCCGTCCCATTTCGGCAAATGGCCATGTACGTAGTTACAATATTTTGCACTTGGAGCTTGGCTTATTGAACAGGCCCTTTAAGCAGTTAATCGAACAGAGGCGCAACACCAAATGGCTCTTCTTGTTGGTCAGTCTGGCAGTTGTCGGTGTTGGTTACACACGTACTGCAGATGTTGGTGAGTGGGTGAGGTGGTTGAAGGGGTTGATCAAGGTATAGGCTTATTTTCTAATTTATTCCTTGTCTGTTCGTGTTTGTGAAGGGCTACTCATCGTTATGCACATTTTCTCTACTCTTTCTTCCTTTTGTAATAGATAGTTATCAGGCGTCTCTTGCTATTAATCTCGTTCATCTGATAAGGTCCATGAGGATCAAATTAACCATCCTTTTGACTTGTTGAAGCAAGGTTACAGCTTGCCAGCCACTACTTTGGAGACAAATTCCTCATACATCCCTGTCCAAGCTTGCGGTAACCCTGGACCATCTCTGCTGTAAAGAAATCAATGGTCTCGTCTTTCTCGGATACACTTTCAAACGACTCTTTAGGCGTTGGCTCAAAAAATTGGATTCATACAACATGATCTGTAGCACAATAAAGACTGCCTTCGCATATGCCTAGATGGGACTCGACTCGGATGGGTGTGTGTATCACTACGCGTCATTTCCTCCATCCTTGTCCCCCACCTTCAGATTCCGAAGTGTTTAAATGTGACCCCAAGGGGAATTGAGGGCGTCTGCGAGGGTTCCCGGGCCAGTACGGGCCAAAACTCATGTTCCATTCGTGTGTTCTGCGCTGCCTCTGGCTCTGCACGATTTCTGGTGCTACGGCTCGCAAGGTGCTCAATTCGTCCTGCGATAACTTTGACAGAGGCGATGACGCTAATAGTAGCATGTCTGAAGGTGTGTAGATAGGGATAAGTCCTGTATAACGTGACCGACATGAGGTATGTGCCACCCGATGGGTAAAGGCTAGAGGATAATACTCACTGCTATCATGAGGCAAGGGTGACAACGAGTGTGCTGGTAACGAAACCTTCGTTGAGCTGGCCGAACCCGGTGGAGGCTCCCGTCGGTGTACGGGGATGTAGAGTTTGGAAGATGACGACATCACTGAGGTGGCGAGGGAGGTGGGTTACTAGAGAAGACTCGGTAGATGAGGACACGGGAGATGAGTTGATCATGTTCTGGCTTGAACAAAGTGTTATATATACTCACAGGAGCAACCTGTGGACCTGCGCATGCATAGACCCATTGTCAGTCAGTTATTGTATGTTAGCGTGGCATGAAGCGGCAGTGGTGGTGGCTCATCCACTTCAAGTTGGACCGCCACATAGGTGATCTGTGAAGGCCAATGAGAAGGTCTGAAAGGTCGTAAGAAACATGTCGGGATTGCCTTATGTAAATGGTCTCAGCAGACCTATGCGGTCACGTGACAATCAACTCCAACTCCACAATATCAGACGCGTTTTTATGTGGGTGTGCTACCCCCACTTGCGCGTATTGTGGGCAACATAACTGAGACAGACGTGGGTGTGTTACCCCCACAGTCTCATGATATGGGCAACATTGCGTCTAGTAATGCGGGTGCCTTACCCCCGCAACTGGATAGTACGACTAAGGTGTTGTCACGGTTAGCGCAGGCATGGCACGTGCGTGGTATTCAGCTGGCGGGACGTATTTGGAGAGAGTATAAACGACGAATAAGATCTCTGAATGCCGTTCCTTCTGATAAGGTGGCATATAAGTCTTTGGACACTTATGCATACCTTTTACCGACAAGTTTGCGAGGTTTGCTTTGATTACGGACGTTTGATTGGATTCGGAGGACGTTTTTGTTTTTGTTTCATTGGTAGTTGAGTCATCGAGGAACCTAGTTACCTGAGCTTATGTGAGCGTAGATGGCCAAATATAAAAATTCAAAATTCCCCTATTTGTCAATCACAGCAACTCTAGAGGATAAGTTAGCAAACCACTGAAACTTGAAGACACCACGTCGACACGAAAAACTTTTAAAAGCAAAAGTGATGAATATTGAGTGACATTAAATGCTAGTGAGACTGAGAGGGGAGATAACAGCCAATAAATGTATGGTTGTACGTGTAAAGATGGGTGTGCAAGGTCATGCAGATAGCGGGGATGGCTTTTGAGAGTGGTCATGAAAGCAGTGCGAGCAAACTACATGCCTACGCATCCACGAAGTTCTTCACGTTGTCCAACCACCTTACGTATTCCTATGAGGGAAAGTGATGAGGTCCTGCAAACAATGGACAGGCAAACGACCACTAACCTTCTGCTCTTTGAATTCCGAATATTCAGGAACAAACGTGGCAAGGTTTTCATTGATACCCCGCTCCTGTAACCACTTCTCGATCTCCTCCTGGACAGAAACGTCGAGAGTATCAAACTGAGGGCCGATGTACAAGCCCCGGCGTTTCCAGTCAGCCTCAGCGGTAAGCTCGGTACCAAGCTGTGCATCAGGATAGTAGGACATGTTGTCGACAATGAACGCGCCCTCCTGGCACATAGTGTCAATGTTGATGGACCCCTTGGCATTACCCTACATCCAAATATAAGCACAAGAATGTTTCACCTGAGGCTAGCTACCTTCGTGATGGAGAATGAAGCACGGATAGGGTACGAGTTGGGAGGTTGGTCCTCTCCACCTTCACCTTCTTCCTGCTCGTATTCCGGCTCTTCCTCAGCGTTTTGAATGTCGGCAATAGAGAACATCATACGAATACTATAAAACATGTCAGTATATGTCAAGCGGTATAAATTTTTACCCACGTCTCATTGCCAAATTTCCGTACGAGAGTGACCTCGTCGTTACCAGTAACGTCCTGTATCTGCGTGCAAGGTCTGAGGAACAAGCCCACCATCTACTCGGCATAACACATACCTCCCAGATACCCTGTTCCTTGAATGTCTTCAAGAACTCAGGCTCTCCTGGCGCGTCAGCAACAGCCTCTTTCTCGTACTTAAGTTCCTCGGCAAGTTTTTGTGAGAGGAGAATGTCAGCTATTGCCACCAAAAAAGGGTGAGTGCTGGTTCATTGAAAAAAGAACAAAGCTCACTCGAACCCTCCGAAAAACGACACGTAGATGCCGAGAATGCTCTTGCAGCAGTCATGGAAGCCCGTGGAGCAAGCTGTGCGGTCGCAAGGCGCAAGGGGCCAGAGCGAGCCGCAGGACGAGCAACAGCCCGTGATGAAGATGCAGCAACCTGACGAAGGGCACGGAGAACAGACATGTTGCGTGAGGGAGGAAAAGTACAGAAGATGGTGAAGAGGAAGCTTAGACGGACACAACCAGTTTTCGAGTTTTGAAGTCACTCAAAATTTCGAGCATTGTTTGGCAACGCCTTTTGAAATAAACAAACGCCCGGACATAGCCGGTAACTTTACGTAACAAGTTGTCCAGGGAAGATCGCTCGCCTACATTTTTTCTTTATTTGATGCCCTTCCGCTTCTCGTATATTTTGGCGCTCACTCTGTCGTTCTAGGGCCTTATTACGCAACCTATTTGCACAGACTGACGAGCTGAGGAATGCGAGTCCGTGAATGTCAACTTATATGTGTTGTGGCGGACCGCAGTCTGAACGTTCAAGTTGCGATGAACACTTGAATTTCAGACAAGCATGAAAACCTTGCCGCAGCAAGGAAGGTAATTTTTATGTTGACAAACGCTCTTCCCCTGTCTATTATAACCGACCATCGCTTCTGAAAATCAATTTATGTAAGTAACCATGTTGATTTATATCCTACAATAATAAATACCACCCAATCATATCATACATAAGTAAAAGCAGGAAGACGGGAAGCATAGGATGACAGACAGGTCATATACGTACAACAAGCAGAAACCGTAATTCCAAAGGGCAAGAAGAAAAAAAGGCGGCGGAATAGAAATCCAGGGACGTTCAAAATGACTGTGGGTAGCCAATATTCCAATCATCGACGTACGGGGGTTCGAGAATGATAGATACTTTGCCTCCGGCGGCTTTTTGACCATAAACAGGATCGCGTCACACGATCTACACCCTCTCTACACATTATCATCCTCATCGAGACCTTGTTGGTGGTCAAAGAGCGTCGGAGTCTCTGAAAGTTTTCAGAAGTACGTAGGAGGCAAAACAGAATCACATCGAACATGCATTTGAAACTGAACAACGAGAAAGCAAAGATCGCAAAAAAAAAAAAAAAGAGAAAACAGCAGCGCGAAAGCAGGGAACCGTATGCAGCAAGAGATCCAGTGATATTCATGCGTCACCAATCTCAGCTGGGCTGCCATGTCCAGGTTCTGAAGCCTGGTCGCTCCCTCCCGTCGTTCCACTAGAAGTTGAAGATTCTTGCACGACAGCAGCGACCTTAGTCTTCTTCGCTTTCGGCTGTCCATCTTTTCCCACTCTAGATCTCTTCTTTGAATTTGTCTTCGGAGCAGGCGGCGGTATTTCTTCGACATCAGGATCATGATCTACAGGCGGGCCAGATGTCCTTTGAAGCTCAGCCTGAGCTGGATCCATGGCGGGCGGCGGCACGCCAGGAGGGCCATAATATGGCGGTCCATAGTATCCAGGAGGAGGCATATAGTAAGGCATCATCGGAGGAGGTACGCCAGAATTTGGGGACCCTTCCACGGGCGCCTGACCCTCAGAGGGTGGTACGAAACCAGGAGGGGGAGGATAGAAATATGGGGGCGGATAATATCCCCCCTCTGGTGGTGGTGGCGGAGGTGGAAAGGTTGGCATTGACGAGGGTGCAGGAGTTGCAGTCGCAGAACCCTGTGCTACACCGTTCGGCGGGTGCCAAGTTGGGTCTCCGTTTGCTTCATTTGGGGTAGTCGAGAAAGCTATCAACCAATGAGTAAAACAAATGCAGATTGATGATTGTAACGTACTTTCGAAACTGGGATTATGAGTAGGTGAGGTAGCAGTATCGCTGCCGCCGGACTTGTTCTTGCGCTTATAGGGTCCCCGCTTAATTCCCTTCTGTCGCTCCTTCCGCACACCATCAACGCACGTTTCTGGGATACCATATTTGACACATCGTTCACATGGACGATGCTCGTCACAACGCTTGCAGGCATTTGCGCAGTTGGTACACTGACATAATAAGTTAATTAATTTAGAAAATGGGCGCAAAAATGTACGTCAACTTACCGCCATCTTGACCTGCTTACGCTTAACGCGCTGGAAGTTAGTTTGGGGAGGGGGTGCGTAAGGCGGAAATCCTACGAGTCTAACGTAAGAGAGAACAAGAGAGAACGACAGAGAACGACGCCGCGAAACTAGACCTACCAGGAGGAGGAAATGGGTACATCATCCCCGGAGGCGGGTAATGATAGATGTATGGGGGTGCTGGGTGTGGCCCGCCGTTTGGTTCAGGATGGCTCGGATCATAGTAGACCGGAAAAGGTGGCGAGTAGGCACCGTATGCTTGGTATGGTGGCATGTGATGTTCCTGTGCTACAGCACCAGCATTCTTGGCTTGATCGCTTGCCATTGGGGACAAAAACTTTGCCCAGCGCTCCTCACAGAAATTTGTTCTCTATGGGTAAGCGAATAGTCACGGACCTGTAGAACGGGAACCATGTTGAGTGTTTGATCGAGCCGGTATTTTGTGAAGCAGACAGATAATAGGCTCCAGTAGAGGAGACAGATGGATGGATGGAAGGAAAGGGAAGAAAGTTGTTGCTCACTCCGCTCGAAATTGCTTAGTTTTCCGATCGTCGCCGCTCAGAACACGCTTCCTACGTTCCGGTGCTTCAAATTATTTGATCTGGCGCTATCGGTTTGATACCAAATTCGATATCGCAAAGGTCTTGAAGAGTATGACGAGGAAAAGGGTAGTTTTTGAGTATAAATGATGGAGTGAAGGCACAACTGTGAACGTGGGACTTGAATAAAAGTTATAAAACGCGAAAACGTGACTTTAAGTGATGCCGTGCGCCTTTTTCCTCATCCTCCAAACTTCATGATGTCGAGCTCTACGATGAGCAGACCTTCGTATGAAAATAGCGATACCTGCGAATTCGTGGGCCATAATTGTCAATCAAAGTTGAGTTTGACAGCGCACGCATGATTCTGTCTCTTTCTCCGACCCAAAGATCGTTGACTCCGCTACAAACGTTGCAACCTCCCACACTGCTTTCCTATACGAGTCGGTGGTCTAAATCTCTTTATAATTTCTGGTTCATTGCACTTATCGTTATAAGACTAACTATGCAAGTCTTTTTAGGCCTTCTATCGTGTTCTGGTGTCGTCCTTGTTAATCAGCGTTGTAACGCTTTATAGCCATCCCAAAAGGAGTTGCGCTCTCAAAATATCTTAATGTTCCTTCTCTTTCCTTTGACTCCCCTCTCTTCTTCCACTGCTACCAGTAAGCAGTATTACTCAATTTTTTTCATTCTAATGACGTCCAGTTGTTCAATAGTAGCAATGACATTACTTACTCAGGACAACAAGTGCGGGTAATAATTAAATGTCCCGAGCTACCTCGGCGAATCAAAAATTATCCTCTTCGGTGCTCTGCGAATTCGTACTCCCATCACTTCTTCGAACCTTGACCGGCGCCGCACGATAACAACAACGCGTACGTTGACTTCCTACGCATGATGTTCTGTCGGCCTTTGTCCCGCATTCGTTACGATCTTCCACGTGTTATAGTTGGCCCAGACCATCCAGACAAGGGGAAGCTTTGATATTCGATGATCCCGATTCGTGATTATTAGCCAACCCTGTACGTGCGATAGTTCACAATCAGACAATCCCATTGTGCAAGATTTGTGAATACATTTACTTATCATGATCTAAGTCCGGCATTCGGTGTTCTTAGACTTTATGTGGAGTTAATTTCTCCTAAGGACCGCAATACAGGCTCCAGGTCGACTTATCTTCGCGCACAGTTTAGGTTTAGTCGTTATCCATTGGTCTTCAACATTCTCGGCTTCTGGATGCTACCTCAGAGGGTCAATATTTGTTGCAAGGACAATCTAGCCTCAGAGAATTCTCAGCCAAGATAATGGATGTCTGCGGTCACTCAGAAAGCACCGAGCAACCTTTGAATTTAGCAGGCGCAGTTGCTTCCCTTGAAATAGGGAACCGATCCTGTCTCCGCCGTGATATTCACGCTCTCGGTGTTTCAAACAGGCGCTGCGTTTATATGGGGATGCTGGCTAACGTTCTTCTCTCGGCATATCTGAATTATCAATTTCATAGATATGATTCACAAGCAAGTCAGGTGAGTCGTTCCTCAGCGAAAATAATTCATCCAGGCGCCTGACCCTTGGCTACCCGCGACGCGTGATATTTGATCTACCGTATTATGATAATTCCGTGTTTGCGCCTTCACCGGTGCTCCCCAAAGTGACCCGATATTTTTAGTCCGTCTCTTTGTTGGTCACCCCTAAAAGTACTTTGACGTATTGGCCGACATATTTTTGCGCCTAGATCTCTCCCGACTTTCGAGCGGAATTCCGTACCGCTCTGGTGGATAACGACACGAAAACGATGCTCGTGATGTATAATAGTTTGAACCCCATTCGTCCTTCATGGATTGTTTCGGGTGGACTGCTCATTGACCATGTTTTTACACAAACTAACTGTCCCCTCTGCTTCCTCCGTTCCTCTAAGGACGCATAAGTTAGTTGTTAGCAAAGACTTTCATCAGGCACTCGCAGTGCACAATGTGTTGAACAGTTGCGTGATTTTGCTCTTTCGTCATAACGTCAAACTGTTATTACCACAACAGGATTCGAAACAAATGATCATGTTCCTACAGGTTCCAGCCTCTCCCGAGCTACACGCCACTGGCAGTTGGTACACGTGTTCATTCTTGGAATATGATTGTAATCATAGCAGGCACCGTGTCGGAGTTAGCCACACGCTTGGCGTAGCATCCTCTAACGCTAAGAATAAGGTACGGTGCCAGCACAAATATCTGCGCAAACGAGACTTGAAGAATGCCCTTGTAAGTCTCTAATTCCAAGGAACATGAGTCCTGTAAGAATGATGAATGACCAGATGCAGATAACTCGGTCACAGATCGGCGTACCGATAGATTTGGAGATAGCCGAGTTGCAAAGCAAAAGAATAGCACAATTAAGACGTATAGAAGATCGGCGTCAGAGATAATCACGAACTTGCACTGCAAAGTAAAACATGAGATTTTACTAACACCGTGGCAACCAGCAAGGTTGCACCAAGAAAAGTGAGAGTCTTTCTTGATTGCCGATACATGGCATATAGCCGAGTAATCGTGATAACTATGGTATGTCAGTCAAAGTCAGCATCATTGGGGTACTGAGACTGAATGGCTCACCACTCACAACTGTTTCGGTCATTAGATCAAACTAACAAGCCCGTCAACAACCTCACTCCGCCTCTAGAATGGTGGACGAAAATAGCACAGAACACTGACAAAGTCTGTCAGCGAGACTGCCGGAAAACTTACTGCATACCGCCGGTCAGAAGTCAACGAGCAGGGGCACTTGCACAGCATGCTGATGCTAATCGCGAGAGATGGGTTATTAGCACAATGCCAATGTCTTAACCTTGAAAACATATACAGAGGATAGAATTCCAACATAGCGTACCTATATATATTTGAAGTTGAGTGAAACTTGTCAAGTGCGCCCATGACATAGACCACTTACTCTGATATATAGAACAGTCATGAACTTGAAAAAGTTGAGCGCTGCCTCTGCCCTGAATCAAATGTGACATCCTTCCTGATGTGGGACCCCGCTCACCTAGACCAGGTCCAGCTGTGAAACCATTCATAGTGAGAATCTGCTTTGGTCACGGTTTAGTGCTGGAGAATACCAAACGGACATCAATAATGCTCAGAGTCTGTAAGTACTACCTTGCTCACCCCAATCGTATACCAACACAGTAGAGGATACAACTGACACCGCAGTCGTATATAGAGGGAACATGTGCTCGCCACAAACCCAAGAAATAGTAACCACGATACCAATTTGATTTGAGACTTGAAGATATTATATTTGGTATCAGTGAGTGGCGAATCAATTGGATAAGTATGACAAATGATACCGATACATTATAACAACCCTTGCCTCATGCCAGGTCCTCGTATCACCACCACCCGCTGCGCGCCCCTCGTCTAGGCTGCATGCGATGAAATAAGATTTGTCATCAACCGTTTTGAACGACAAAAGCAATGTAGAACGTACCGTATCACACGGACTGATACCCGTCAGCGTTGCATCAATTTACACAGCCAGGTAACGCGCCATTGTTGTTTTTGAAGATCCGGATGTGGCGCTTGACAGTCTAAATGTGAATGATATTTGATGCTGTGAATAGTGCAGTAATGCGAACAGCATATCCGATGGGGGTTGCTGTATATGAGTTACGATGTTGGCGGGTGCTGGCTGGCATGCTACCACAATCTTTGGTGGTCCCTCATGAGTGTGCACAAAGATGGCTACGTTTGGTTTCAATGCTTCTGTTTCCGTGGGTTCTGGAGTGGAAATCATGATGGAGATATCATAGGTGAACAGCAGCCGTGATCTCCCGAGGGTAGCTATGCACGTACTTCAGGAAGAGCGTATCGGCATGCGTGCCTCCCACTGCCCACCACTGTCTCTAAAGATTTTAACTTTGATGCTGTAAACTCTGCCTTAAACGCTGGGTTTGAATGTATTAGTAATAATATATGATTTCATAAGCCAGGGACTTGAAATTTGCTTTTTTCTTTCTCGACCAGCTCAAAGGCCACGAATGCTCATCACGTACAGGCTGCGTCATGCATCCACATTTCTGAGCGGGCTAAGGTCTGAGTATTTTAATCCCTCTCGATCGGCTCTAGCAGAGCCCAGCTGTAATCAGCTGCGTGACGTACCAGAAAAGCAGCTTCATTTTCATATCCCAAGATCCTGTTCCAGCAGAGGAGGGCGAGAATGAAAGCTTTGAAAGCGTTGCAGGGATTGTGCAAACTTTTTCCATCGTGCAGCAGTCCTATCGCGCGTGCGCCCGTCAAAATGGCGCTCAGGGACGTAGAGAAATCCAAGCTAGATGCTTAGTCCCCGGGCTTTGTTGCGGTGCATTCCTCATCCAAGTCGCTAAGCATGTACTTTTGCTACCCTTGGGATCTACTCCCGAGTCCTGGTGCACATGCAAACTGCAGTCGAGGTATCTCCTACAGTGCCTCCTCTACCGACGAGGGTCTCCGCTTGCTGCAAGCATATCATACGCCGAGTTTCGTGAACATCTTGCGGCTGGAGATGACCCAACGCTACCATGTTAGCTCTCTCACTCTCCTTGCGTATGAGGGATATACACGATGGCACTGGTTTGTCCTTGAGTTCACTTCGTGGCTCGCGTATCCTTCGTGGATCGTGAAACTCGATTCAGACTACTCTTGGGCTGGTTCCATTATCAATTTTTTGCTTCTCGAACTCCTTTGTGGAGGGTCATCTTCCCGATGTCGAGGGTTTATGCTTGGGTCCGAACTGGTTGAAAGGAACGTAGTGGAAAGGATAGGAGTGATCTATGTGGTATGCAATATTCTTTCTAGTTTGACCTCCCGCTTTTACGTGGCAAAGATAATGTGTTATTTTCTTGTATTTGTAGCCACCACGTTTCTTTATTGAAGCTCTTCGTAATCGCTAGAAAGCTTCAAGTTCTTACCATTGCATCTCATTAAGAATCATGCTGAATCAGTGAACTCAACCCGAGACACAACATTGGGTGGACACCAGTTGTATATATCGCCTGGAAGACATGGAAGGCGTTCCGCGCACACAATTATTTACTTCTCGACATGTGACCTCGCCATCCCATACTCTACCTTGGTCGAGCAAGCTTTTGACTCCCAGCTCGATGGAACTCCTATACCAAAATTATCACCGCCTATCAAGATTACAGGGGCGATATTCCACAATCGTATCTTCGTGAGTCATCATGTTGATCATTGACACGACGAAGGCTCTCTTAATAATCCTAATGTCACGCAGCTATCTTCACTGTTTAATATTCTGCAGACGACGGTCATCTCACGTCCAGACTATAGTCAGGGAATGTTCTCTTTCTTGAGTGCTATGAATAACGTGCACACAGACGAATACGGCGGAAGCTTCGAGAACATTCGTTGAGTCTCGAGGTTGTGGATGGCATCTATGACTATGCTTGAAAATATACTACTCTTCTGAAGTATTTTCATGTTCTTTGCTTGATCTGACTGATGTGTCGAAGATATCGTCGGTATTCTTGTCGAGCACAGAGTCTACTCTCCCGACATCTCCAGAGGTGCTAGCCACCCAAAAGCCATCATCAAAGTCAGCCCAACTTAGTAGGCACCGTTTTCACAGGCAGTCAAACAAGCTGCCGGAGACAACCTTACTGCTGAGGCTGTCGGCTCTATTACCGATACCGAGGAGATTCTTGACAAAAGTCAAGCCGATGTCGTCGGGATTGTGATTGTTGGGGCGTGAGTACATTCTTCACCAGATAAGCTAACTCATGATCGACATCTTCCGGTGTACAATTGGCGGATTTGCCTCAGACTGGTGTCGCTATTAGGCTAGAGAATAGATCGGGCTATGGACGTGTGGGTCGCGTTCAACTGCCGACTACAATGACTCGGAGTTCTGAAAAATAACAAGAATGCCGCTCGCAGCTTGAATTTAGGACACACGAAGACGTTCGGTCACAGATATATATTCCATTAGTCGAACTACAAAAGCAAATGTTGCATTGAGCCTTCTAAATTGACAAAAGGCTCTCCACCCTGCTAGCTGATAGGATCCGCGGCGCCAGGATTACTAAAAGCCATGTACTTGTGGGGGCTTATCTAGTCCCCATATGCCAAGCTGGCTCTAAACAGTGATCTACAAATACGGAAAGTCGAGCCACTCGAGTTCGATCAGGTGATCATTAACAATCACACAAGCCTTCGGCCCGGTAACACGTCTATCACTGACGAATACATAACGTAGGGCTCCGATGGCGAAGGTCGTATTTTCTCGCCATTTGTACAACCTTCCACGACCTTCCAGGAGGCCACAAATAGCTGACGCAGCGGTCCAAGTTGATGAGTCACCACTGCTCTTTCCCGCCACGACATCGGTGACACACAATAACCAACTGCCGAGCGGCCCATGCATGCGCAGTTTCCTCAGGATGTTCCTGTGTATATATAAGACCTTGTTCAAGCCGGAACATGATCAGCAGTCTCACTCGTCCAGTCATCTACCAAGTCTTCTCTAGCTACCCGCTTCCCTTGCCATATCAGTGATGTCGTCATCTTCAGGACTCTACATCCCTGTACACCGACGGGCACCTTCACCGAGTTCAGCCAGCTCATCAAGCGTCTCTTCTTCACCAGCGCACTCATTGTCACCTTTACCTCATGATAGTCGTGAGTATCCCCTTGAGCTGTAAATACCTAACACTGGCCACGTCACACAGTGCTTATCTACACGCCTTCAGACTTGCTACAATTAGCATCATCACCTCTGTCAAAGTTGTCGAATGAGGAATTGAGTGCCTTGCGAGCTGCAGCACCAGAGATCGTGCAGAGCCGCAGGCAGCGCAGATCACGCGAATGGCACATGAACCATAGCCCGTCCTGGCCCGGGAAGCCCCACAGACGTTCTCAATTCCCCTCGCGCTCATATCCAAACACTTCTGAATCAGAGGGGGAGGGACATGGATACATGAAGTAGCTTGTTGTAGCAAGACATATACCCCTCCGAGTCCACCAACTTCATCACTCGTCATTCACAGCATACCCCAAGATCAGTGACAATCACATACACCCCTCATCAGTCCTTATGTAAATGGAGACAAAGGAACTACATTTCCTTCGCCACCTTGGTATCAATCCCCTTATGTATACATTCATCTATTGTCTTCACTCTATCAGGACATTCAATGCCAACGTGTTTAATTAGAAGGGACTATAGTAGGCCAGTATCAGTAGTGAAGGTCTCAGTTTTCATGTAGTAGTGGCAACAGATGTATCGTATTTCACCAGTACCCAGATGAAGTTTTACCATTCAGAGTGTCTTGAGTATGAACTCATCGGAGCATCGGAATATAGCATGGATCGACAAAACTAGGGAGCTGCATATAAGGTGAAAATATTCCCAACCTCGTTGACTTCCATGCGGACGACCATCCTTGACTTTCTACCCAGACAGTGTTCGAAGCCGACGCTCTCTTTTCGACTCTCGATCTTTGGTGAAAAAATTTACTGCACGGTGATACCCCTCCTTGAACGTCTCGTCAATGTTGTAAACCGGGTTTGCAACCAAGGTACCATAATCGTCTTCTTCGTCTCCGCTGTCCCCCTCTCCGTCTTCGCCAGCAAAGAGGAAAATCGGTGTGGGAGCTTTCAGGGTGAACGGTTCCAGTAGTTCTTTTGGCGGTAAAGAGTCTTCATCTACGAACCCAGACAGAGGTATCGACGGCGAAAGCGGCGCTGCCTGCCGGAGGGCTTGGTCGCGCTGTACGAGACCAATGAGTAGCTCCCAGCGAGCGTACCAGTTCAGCTCCCAGGTGCGAATAGCCTCCCATGTACACGGCGGAGATCTTTTTGGAGTTCTAGGCGATAGACATTCTTGATGAGACCCGTTGTCAAGCGTTTGTTTCTCGAAGGGTGGTTCATCGTCAGCAACAAGGGTTACATCCCCATCACCGCATGTCGATGAACCAGTCGACGACTGCAAGCTTCCTGAAGACGCAGAACCTTGTATCTGGTCGGAAATATTGGTTGCCCTTTGATACATGTCGAACACGTAGAGCGTCTTGTGAATGGTCCACAGCGGAAACCTGAAGAAGCACCGGTCGACATTGGCAGAGTATGGATCACGAAGCGCAGAGATATCGCCCACACGAGGGTAGATCGGCGCGTTCGAGTCCTGGACAAAGTCTCTCGATGCATACCCCTCAAAGTCACGCTCCAAGCCAGATAGAGGCACGCGGATTTGCGATGGCAGCCCAGAGACTTCCTGACTATCCATGAGCGTGATGCCAGTATATGCGCCTCCAGGGTCTTGTGCGCATATAGTGTGGTCTATTCGCCGTTTCACTTCTTTGGCCTGCCATTCCAACCATTCGTCATGGCGCGCTGTCCAGAAAGACTTTTGATGCAACAAAGCACTCCGTGAAAATCCGCGGTGAGGGTAGTTCAGACGCTGCGAGTGGGGACGTGAGACAGGAGTTGGATTTTGCACCTTTGTTTCTTGTGGAAGCGTCGCATGGCGAACAGGTTCTGGTGCCAATGGCTCCATGGTGACTGTCTGAAGTGAAGGTGGGAATGGAACGCATTGGAGCTCGTCTTCGAAGTCTGTCTGGTAATTGGTGCTGTGGTCATTCACGTGGAGGATTGGTAGACCGATGAGAGGCTCGTCGTCGCTGTCCTCCTCCTCCCTAAATTTCGCAAGTGCCGGGCCGCTACGGAAGAGGTTGCGTGCCCACTTGACCCTTGAAATCGGCAGTTCTGCGTCTGCATCTGATTCAGAGCAACCGACAGCGCCGCCTTCTTCATGAAAGAAGTCAAGTCTACTAGGAGAGCGTGGCGGAGAGATCAAAACATCTGGCTCTTCCGAGGATAGAGAAATATCTGTGTATGGTTCGTGTCTCGCGTCCGCTAGAAGGTCCGAGGCATCGTGCACGCCAGTGAAATAAGGCATTACTATGTAGCAATTAGGTATGATGATAACAATAGACGCGCGGGGATGGCGGAAAATAGCAGATGTGACGATAGCCTTCGGTTGCGTGATGTTAGCAGTTAGGCTAGCGAAGAAGTGCGATGTCATTCATTTACAGGAACGCGTCGGTAGCAAATAGACATCAACAGACGCGCGGGTCAATACGGTCACATGACAGGCGCGTTCTGGAGTAGCTGCCAATCATGTACTCTAATTTATGCTAGGCTGAAGTCTCTGCATCTGGTTTTCTCAGAGCGGTTACCGACTATGCAAACCACGCAGTAGCAGAAGATCACCAAAGACAGAAATTCGCAGGAGGCGGACAAGAAGCGCTTGGGTGAGAACACCGTTGCTGTAAAGGTTGAAACTAACCAGTGCAAGGTGAGCTGCTTGCCGGTACGTTGTCATGATCGTCGCGATGTAATTGTTGAATGATGCCTCGCAGTAATGGCAAGGAAAAAATAGGAGGTCCGAGAAGCCGAGACGTTGATTGCTGTTTTGAAACACCAACTCGCATCCATTCAACTTGCTAATCTGTCGAGGAAGAGGTAGGGAAGTATCGTGCTTTAACGGACAATCTAAGATGAGGTGGATTATTTCCCTTCCTGATGCTCGTCGCTGATGTTACTTTTGGCCCAAACAGAGCTCAAATGCCTGCGAAACACGTTTCACAACTAGTGTCCAATTGTGAGCAGCCCAACCCGTACCGACTATAGTCAAAATCCTGACAGTCAAGAGCCCGCGTACCAATCAGGTCAGTCATATAGACACGCTAGGAACATCTGTTGAATCATCGTTGTCTTCAAACACTATGCGTGTTCGCTTCTTGGTTCGAACAGAATCCGCATCTTTCTCTTCCTCTACTTCTTCGTTCTGGCTTTCATGGACCTCATCGTCGTCCATCTTCAGCCCCACTTCTCCACTGCGCACCAACCCAACTTTCACTTTCCTCATCTTGTCCCTACGCTCAGAGGAGGGTGCTGCATAGCCAGCAAGGCAAGAGACCAAGCCTGGCTTCCCTCCTTCACCAAAATCGGGCGCTGGGATGACTTGGGTAATCGTCTGAGTCTCAACGCTGTGCACTTCGATTGTGCCATTTGGCAGAAGTGTTGTTAGGTAAGGATAGTCGAGACCTAGGCAGGTTCATCCACGGTAATCAGTCTTAGAACTTGAAAACAAATGCGAAATGATAAATAAAATGAAAGTAACTTATGCACCACTGAGAAAGTCGAAAGGTGGTGGAGAATTAGCGAATTCGAGCTAGCAACACGGAAGAGATCCACATAAGATATCACTCACACACAGACACTGGATACGATGGCCACTCAAGTGTTCCACGTACGGGATCACCATCGCCCGTGACGAACAGACCAAGTGTGCTCCCGCCCGTCCAGCTCAGTAAAAGGAACTCAGATGGAGATATGACAACGATATGTGGTTTAATCGTACTGTTAGCTGAGTCAGTAAGAGTCAGTAAGGTAATATCCTATTCCACTTACCCCGCCGTAACCTCGACTTGTGTCACTGGAAGCAATTCAAACATTTGGGCAGTTACAAGATCAATTACACTGTAAATGTCTGCGGTCGCAATGCACAGGTGGCGCCCGGAACGCCGAGCACGGAGGGATCCAGGTCGGAAAGGGATTTCCTAAGGAGGAACAAACGGACATCAGCTTATAAGCAAAAAAGATGGGAGTGTGAAGGAACACCAACCCTGGTGAATATCAACTTCTCCTCGCCCAAACTATACATGGCAATAGTACTGCGCTTTATAACACAGAGGTCGATGGCATCAACTTTCCCTCGCTCAGTAGGAAAATTTGCTGATGTGGAAGTGGCTCTAGTGGTAAGCGAGGTCGCGGCGGGGCGCTGAAGGTGGTTGTGGTCGACTGCGAGAGCCTCAACATTGCGGATGGGTTTAGCGTTTGGAACAAGATCAAGCGAAGGGAGGGTGTATATATGGAATTGACGGTCTGAAGAAGTATGTTAGTACATGCTTAGCGATTGAATATGTAGATATCAGAAGAAAGTAAGGTGTGGTGCGAACAGCATCTCAAATTTTCACAACACAATCAGCTACACCCTGGATCAAGCACTCACAGATATGAGGATAACGCACCACATAATATCAGCGCCCTCGCGATGCAAGGTACGAGGATGAGCTCGTCGATCTGCTTGCCCGAAGGATGGCTCTGTTGCGAGAGCAGAGCGTAAGCGTCCAGCTGGGCTAGGTTAGCATGGTATCGCAGACTTGAGTTGGGAAAGAGGAGAAAAAGAGGCGAGTAATCTAAGAGTGGAATATATGAAAATGATAAAATCTATAGAGCGATGAATGAGAAGGATGTTGCAAACGTTGGTACCGACCTTGGTGGGATCCGCATCTGGCTGAAGGGCGTAGCGCAGGAGCTCGCCATTCGAGCAGCCAACGTATATTTCGGACCCTGTACCTGGTGTTAGCACTGGTTCTTGAATGATTCGGGGAGACTAAGGAGGTAATGAAAGAAAATGGTCGTCTAAGTGACCCATGGTCGTTCACGCACCAAAGGCCTGCGCACAAGTAACAGTCCCTGCAATGATTCTAGGGATGAGCGGTTGGAGGAGGTATGGCGGGACTTCAAGTGAATTGACCATGCCGCTGAAGCACTGATTTACTAGCCTGAGCTAGTCAAATGCTAATTACCAGTACTCAGCTGATGAACGAAGTTGATTGATTGGTTGACTACGCCGCCACCTTTTATAATCACACCTTTGATCAGTCACATGGTGACTGGCAACTCTTCATTGCATTTGTCGATGTAAGTTACTGCCGCTTTGTGATCAAGTCAGTCTATAGTCACCATTGAGCCGCTGCAGTTTTTATCCGCGATATCTTTGTTCTTTCGTTTCTTGGTCGTACCAATATTTAAGCAGAGCGGTCTCGACGTGATAGAGATGTTTTCCAGGCTACTACTCGAGTTCGCTATTGACGACTTAAATTCTGGTCAGTTCTTCGTCCCATAACCAGTGCCGATAATGCTGACACCGAGTCTCAACTTACAAGACAGTGGACAAAGCTGAAAATGAAAGCCAAAGCAGAGTTACTGTCCCTTCCTGTAGAACTCCTCACTTACATTCTGAGCTTCCTTCCTTGGCGAGATATCCTTCGTTGTACAACTGTGAGTTACTATTAACTTTCTAATCGCTGTCGATCCATCGTCTTAAATGGACTCCGATACTGACGATCGTCTGGTAGTTATGCAAGGCCCTTCGCCAGACATACATCATATCCGAGTCATCCTCTGAGCTTCAGTACGCCATTGAACTCGGTAGTCAACGACTACTTCCTGTTTCCAACAATCACATCCATGTTGCAAAGCGCCTACAACTCCTAAGGGAAAATGCTAGCGCATGGTTCAAATTTGATCTCCATTCTTTCGAAACAATCTCCATACCGGAAAAATTCCATAGGCTCACAGCAACGTATGTCACTAATGGGCATGCTTGTTTCTGGAACCCAAGCATAGATTCTGTTAGAATCTTTCCAATACTACCTAAATCCTCACAAGAAACCATCGAACGTGATTTCTTTCCAGGTTCGCTTTGTGCTGTTTCCAACATCAGCGACATCGATGTTTTCATGGACCCAGCACAAAATCTACTCGCCATCTCCTATGCCATTAGTGGTGATAATTATCCATATGACGAGGAGTCCTATATCGAGCTTCTTACCCTGGATGGAGATGGTGTCCACCCGCAAGCTGCTGGACGGACATTGTTTATGTCCGACTTGTGGCTGCCAGGAAGACGTGAGAACTTTGTAACATGGTGTTCGAAACTCGAAGGTTTTGAGAAGTATATCGCTTTCCTTCGCTTCGCACCACTGTTTGATGGTACAGGCTCATCAGTCTACTCCAAGTGGTGCTTACATATTTGGGACTGGCAACACTCGACTTCGTCCAATGTGAGTATCAGCCAGAATTAGCTGAAAGACTTGACAGTTGACTCGATTTAGAGCATACTCAGTGGCTCAACTATACTAGATCTAGATTCCGACAGGTCAATCGACTTTTGCTTCCTCGGAAACGATAGACTTTTGATTATCAGCGACAATTTAGAGCTCTATTCAATTGAGGACATGTCTCGGTCACCGCAGTTGCTGGCGCGCTTCTTGTTGCCTGCATCACTGTTCGGACTAAAGTGCTGTACTCCGACGAGCGATATTGCATATAGCTCACACCCGAAGATACAAGCTCAGCAAGTAACATGGGTCTCAGACCCCAAGTATCGAGTACTCTCTCTTGTTTCACATTCTTCAGGTCTCGACTTCGTTATTTCCACCACGATTTTCTTCGATGGCTTTTCTGACTCGGAAGGAATGTCGCCAATAATACCGTGGATATATTGGGGTCCTTCAAATGTTCGTATTTTTCGGCACGATTTTCCATGCAGACTTGGCGTCAGTGGGAATCGAGCTTTAAATGCATTCCCTGCAGCTGGCGCGACAAAACCGGTTGATTCAGAATACAGGCTACACATGATGGATTTCAGCCCATCAGCTGTTAGGCGTCACCAGCAAGGCCTAGGAAGACTGGTTAACGAACCATCCACAGTATACAACTGTGAGTCTGGGGAATACTTGACGACATTCCTGCCCTATGTCGAAGTCGTGTCGGACAGAACGTTCAGTTATGGCGAGTTCGTCGAGATATGGCTCGATCAAGACAAGATTTATTTGTTCAAAGAAAATATAGACACTGTAGGTTCCTATCATTTTCCAAGGAAGTGCGACATACTCATTGTTTATCCCTCATTATTTCTCTAGGATAATATGGATCAGCTTGAAGTCATCGAGATGTAAGAGTAAACGCTGTATGATGTAGCTGGATCGTCGATTTTCAACTTACTTAGAGTCTAGACTCGGAGACCTCTTGCTGCGCAATACTATCACTTGTATTCCCAGGTCATTTATCAGTTGAGATCCGCTGCCCTTGCTCATCAGGAGCCTTCCTTATACCTGCTCCACGCACTGGCAATACCATGAATTTGAGGTTGTCCTTCGCACTGCTTTCTTCACATGTTCTGCCCTGCTAGGCAGACGC